GTCACCTACATCTTGGATGCCCTGGGGGTAAGCAGATAAACATCAAATTTTAATTTTTGGGTGAACTATCCCTTTAACTGTAATGAAAACATTAATATTACTATTCATTTTGAATGCATACATTTCTCTTCTCATTTTGGGGTAAAATATCATTTAAATTTAAAATATAATTCAAGTTTTCGTGTTTCACCCAAATTAGTGTGTGCTAGAAGGTACCTCATGAATAAGGGTGGCTAACATTTGTTGATAACTCCGCCCTCTGCTGACAAGAAAGCGTGTGATTGGATGTCCATCTTTGTCAGTTTGAACAGGAAGGTCATAACACAGTAGAAGCCCAGCTGAAACAGACCAATCAAAACCAACATACTGTATGTGTTTATTTAACACACTTAACTGGACAAACACAGAATTATGCAATGTGTGAGTTGTTACTTCAGTTGTGACAAACAAGCATTAGCTATAAGAATTTTTAAATTACCCACGTTACAGAGCTGAATGACTCTTGTACAGTATATGTACCTGCTATGCCAGGTTTCAGACCCGGCTGCTTGTTCTTTTCATATGTTTTCAGCATAAAAGAAGGAATTCCAGATACAGTTTTTCCCTGGTCAGTGCACAAATTCCCTCCACTCAGAGCTGAATGGTACACGCCACGGGGCATTTGGTTCATCTCCTGCCTTACTAGAGCTGGCAGGAAGGTCTCAAGGGCTGCATTAGAAGACAAAACTCATGAATTAAGGAGGTTTTTGTTAAAAGGTTAAATAATACATTACATCAACATTTATATAAAATTAGCAGAAATCTATAATATATTCCATATTGTGTAATGTAGTCTTTGTTGTGGGTTTCTGTTGCATGTTGTGCTTTTAGGCAAGTACACTGACACAGCCTCAAGTTTTATTCATCCAGCTATTTTGAATACATTACCTTGGTTAAATTATGGAAATATGCTACAGTTACATAACAGTAACTGTGAAAAGATCACACCTTGGGTCTATGATATGTAAAATTTCAGTACACAAAATCTGTCCTAATTTATTTCTTCTGCCACTGCAAAAATGCAGCCAGCTGGCTTGTTACCTAACCAAATAACAGTGAATGTATCCCTCATATAATCTCATATAATGAATGAGCAGAACAGAAATGTTAAGTATTAAGTAAACAACCCAGTTAACATTGATTAATAATGGTCTAGATATCTATATGACACCAACATATACATCAGTCATTCAGACTGACATATAATATACTCATATACTCTTAACTCAAATATCATAACAGTTTGGTTTTTAGTTCAAATAACTGTAAATGCAAGTCAACTATATTTAAAAGAGTTTGTTTGACAGTCTGTTACCCACCATAATCAGATAATCTTACCTGGTAAAACAGATCGCTTTACTAGCTTTACTAGCTTTACATATGACGCCCCTGGCACTGAAACATCTTCATCCTTCTCATTCTCATTTTCCTTCCCTTCATCCTCTTCTTCAGGCTGCTTTGGTACAGGTCTGGCCTGTTAGCAAGATCATATCACCATTACAGATACACAGTATATATATAAAGGTAAGCAGAAATAATGTGAGGATATTTAGCATATGTTCTCACCTGCTCTGGCAAGTGTAGGATGGTGTGAGATCGTTCAGGGTACTCCGAGATAGCTTTAAAACCCTGGCTCGCAACCTCTGGGTCCTGATGAAGCCAATAAAGCTTTAAATATTACTGTTTACTCATAACTGGTAGAAAAATAACTAAATAAATTGCAGATACATAAAATGGTGCAATGACTATTCATTAGAAACAGTTGTTGGGTGACTAGTCAATTATCCTGCCCATCCCTACCGTTCATTACCATTTGAAAATGTCAGCGCTCACCTGACTAAGTGCGTAGCTCCATAAAACACAGACTGCCTCGTTTCTGAATTTCTGTAAGGAAAAGGACACAAGACCTGAAGTAATCTGTCCCAGTTATGAAATGTGGAGAGAAATAAATCATGCTTTTAACTATGAATTCAGACACCGCTCCAAAATAGCACACATCTAGCAATCAGAAACAGGGGTTGCTGGTCTCGTGCCTCATATTCTTCAGTTTTGACGTTTAAAGCAGGTACTAATGCCAGAAGTTCAGCTGTGGCCTTCAGGACCAGGGGTCTGGAGTCACAGCACAGCTTAGGAGAGAGTGCCTTCCACGTGGAGACGATATCAACTACCTGAACAGAAAACAGATGAGAAGAATATTCAAATGCAGAGCTCAACAGTAAGAATGGCCCACTAGCTAGTGTAAAATATCACATAAACAACATGTACATTACCGCTCAAAAGTTTGAGGTCAGTATGATTTTTTTTAAAGAAATTAATACTTCTATTCAGCAAGGATGCATTAAACTGATCAAAAGTGACAGTGAAGACATTTGTTACAACATTTATTTCAATTAAATGCTGTTATTTTGAACTTTCTATTCATCAAAGAATCCTGAAAACACACAAAAATATTAATCAGCACATCTGTTTTTGTCAACATTGATATAAAATGAGTTCTGAAGGATCATGAAATTGTTTCACAAAGGATCAGCTTTGTCATCACATTTTAAAGTACATTCAAATAGAAAAGTTATTTTAAATTGTAATAATATTATTATCATTGTCTGTATGTTGATGAAATTGATTATTGGTGAGCATAAGAGACTTCATACTTGCCCCAAACTTTTGAACCATATGTACTGCATTACTATACAGTATCTTATATTTTGTGATCATGTGCACACATTTTTATGACTTGCATCTTTTTAAATATGTAAGATAATTATCTAGCTGGCTAAAATGGACTACAAAATGAATCATAATAAAAATATTTTTGTAAATAATATATAAAATAAATACTAATATAAAATAAACAAATGAATATAATATAAAAACAATATAATGAACATGGCAATAACATAAATATTTGTTAAAATAAATATTAAGAAATACATTTAAAATTAGATTTTTTTTTTTATTATTATTATAAATATTAAATAGGTTTGTAAAAATTATGTACAGGATAATTAAAATGTTGGCAGACCCAGTACAAATCTAAAATTCTTTCCCAATAGAGCAAAAATCTTGTTGAGCCCTGAAATGATTAGAATTTGCGTCTTGAGCCAGGAGGGAACATAAGGGCCAGGGTGGCACTGGTCTACCCAATCAAAACTATACAAATATTTTAGAAATTAAAATGCATTTTCATCTTCATTTTCATATTTCTGACAGCCAGTGTGGACTGACCTCAGCTCTACAGAGCTCCTGTAAGCCCTGCAGTGCCAGAGCAGCAGGAGTGGCCTGATCCTTCCTGGAGAACTGCATCAGTGTGTCGATGATGGCAGCCAGCATGTCTCCTCCATGCTGGTACGGCCTGGAACAATATGTACGGCATTTGGGAAAAGAGTAAATGAATGTAAATGTTAAACCTTTGATGGTGAATGGTTACTATGGTGGAATATGCAGTAAATCAAACTGCTAAATGAACTCCAGGTTTACGGCGGCAGATTTTGGGTGAAGCAGACCTCTCTCTGCAGATGTCTCTGATGCAGGCTGCTCTGGCCAATATCTGCTCCCACTGTGTATCTTTTCCCAAGACCACTGAGGATTTTTCAAGCTGTGACATCAGTCTCTGCAGGTCCGGATACACACGGTCCTATACAAAAAAATAATAAATCTAAAGTTTCAGAACGTTTCAGGGTAACAGTACTTACAAAAGTACTTGGAAACAAACAAGTCACACTTAAAACTGTGATGGTCTGCATTAAATGAAATTAGCTCTAGATATGTTGTTATCTAATACAATGTCATTCATACATTGTAAGTGTGGTCTAAGTGTCCAAATAGTTTTTGGTGCCACTGTATAGCAGACATTATAGTAAGACTAGGTATCAAAACACATTTGCAGATTCAATCTGAAATCATAATCATTCATTTAGGAATACTTCAGTTAAAATGTACATTTTTCTAAAACACGCAAATTCTCTGTGAACTAATTAATATTTGTATAATTTTACATTTAATTAATAATAGGGTTCAAACCATTAAGTTATACCATATATAACCATTAAGCATATCTTCATTTTTTTTCCCAATTAAATTACACATGCTAATAATATGAAAATATTAATTGTAATTAAATGTTTAATATAATATTAATAGACTAAATAGAAGATAAAAATGATAAAATGTAAATACATACATTTTAAATAAATATTAAATAATAAAGCTTAATTAATATCATAATTTTTACGCTTCATTAATAACAGGGCTCAAACCCTTAAGTTATATGCATACATTTATGGGGAAAAAAAAACACTCAAATTGTTATTTTCATGTCAAATATTATAATGTCATGTATATTATAATGCCAAACGATTAATTGCATATATAATGTATATATATTTAAAAAATATTTACGATGTATATCTATATATTCAAATATAATTTATATTATGTATAAATATTATGTAAACAAAAACTTACTTTGGATGTGATTAATCGCGATTAATCGTTTGACAGCACTATAAAATATTAATTGATTTTTTTTTATTAAATTAGTAGACTAAACAGAAGCCTCTCATATGTAAATATAACAATATATAATCAAATATAAATATTATGTATAAATATTATGTAAACAAAAACTTACTTGGGATGTGATTAATCGCGATTAATCATTTGACAGCACTAGAAAATATTAATTGAAATGTTTGTATTAAATTAGTAGACTAAACAGAAGCCTCTCATATGTAAATATAACAATATATAATCAAATATAAATATTATGTATAAATATTATGTAAACAAAAACTTACGTTGGATGTGATTAATCGCGATTAATCGTTTGACAGCACTATAAAATATTAATTGAATTTTTTTTTATTAAATTAGTAGACTAAACAGAAGCCTCTCATATGTAAATATAACAATATATAATCAAATATAAATATTATGTATAAATATTATGTAAACAAAAACTTACTTGGGATGTGATTAATCGCGATTAATCATTTGACAGCACTAGAAAATATTAATTGAAATGTTTGTATTAAATTAGTAGACTAAACAGAAGCCTCTCATATGTAAATATAACAATATATAATCAAATATAAATATAATTATATTTCAAAGCATAAACCAAATAATAAAAAGTGAATATATCAATTTTAAATAAATATTAAATAATCAAGCTGAATTAATATAATAATTTCATTAATAACAGGGCTCAAACATTGAGTTACATGTATAATTTTATGAAAAAAAAAAACCACTCAAATTTTTATCCTAATAATATTATATGACAATATTAATTATAATTAAACATTTTGTAATAATTTAGTATACTAAACAGAAACCTCTCAGACATGAATATAATAACACATAAATATAATGATATTTCAATGCATAAACCCAAACAGTAAATGGGAGTACATTCATTTTAAATAAATATTAAATACTGATATTCAACATAAATTCACAGAATCAATGCATCCTGGCCACAGACATCTGACACAACACACAAAGAACAGTTTTAACAAATATCAGCATTAACTGCACCTGTTTTTTCCATAACAGAGCTAAGAGGCGCAGAGCCACAGGCCTCAGTCTGGATGAAGTGCCCAGAGTTTGGAGGACATGAAGCACCTGCGGGATACAGAACTGAAACACAAGAGAGGTCAGTCAGGATAAACACACACGAGGCAGAATACACACATCCACTTAATGCTAAAACATACCAAACAGGACTGGATATATGCAAACTTAAATTACCTAATGCTTTTATGTTTTTAATGCTTCGTCTGTGACCTACAGGCTAGGTTGTGTTCTGCTGCGCTTTTAAAAATCACAGTATCTCACAGATTACAAAAAGCTCAAATTAAAGACTACATTAAAGGGCAAAACACTGCCACCCACATTCAAAGGCTGATGATAGAGTGTCTAAGCATTTAAAATAAAGATGAATAAGATCAGCAACACATCTTCTCTCTTATTTACTCATATTTTGGAGTACACTGTGCAACGTCCAGAAAGTGTTTCTGTTGATGTAGCATTTTAGTAGCAAGCAAAATGTTACGGGAGTACACATTTGGCATACAAGATTTATGAATAATGTGCATTGTTAGCGGAATCAAATGAGTAACAGTGGCACAGACAATGGTCAGGTTAATGGCTGGAGTTGCCTACAGTGCAGGTGAGCTGTTGCCATAGCAACAGGGGAAGCAAAATATCCTAAATCCATGCAGATGGACTATATTCATATATTGTGGAGCTGTGTCGCACTAGCCTGTAAATGGTGTTGCATTCTTAATTTTGACTGCCATACATGTTAACATCTTCTTAATATAATGATTAGCTATTTGCACATTTAATTAAATTAAATTTCTAATTCCAATTATTTTTCTTGGTAAAATTTTGAAAACCAAGAAAACACATTTGCTGAAAAATATTTATTGATTAAGTTTCTAATTTAATATTCCCTCATCAGGTAAACAGTGCATGCTGTGCATGCTAATGACTGTACCTTGTGGGTTCCCAGTTTTAGCAGAGTGTAGAGAATAGAGTGAGACAAAGCCGGATCAGACACTCTGCCCAGTTTAAACATCAGGACAGGAAGTAAACATGGCACCTAGAGGTAAATGGAAAAAGAATTAAGCAAACAATTAATAGACAATTAACACTGACCTACTAAATACACTCATGCACATCAGACACATTTAAAAGCAATGGAATATAAATAAGCCTTCAATTGAGATTTAAAACTGCTTTTAAAACCCAAAGTCTAGTGGCCACAACTGTGAAACACTGATCTCCCTCGGAACGAAAAAGCAAGAGGGGAACAGAAAGAAGTAATTGGTTTGATGACCTCGGGGAGCAAGGGTGGAGGAGATTAATACTGTGGAGCAAGTCCATGCAGGGCCTCAAAAATTAATAGCATTGTAAAATCAATTCAAAAACTTCCTGGTAGCCAGTGCAATGAGGCCAGTACAGGGGTGATGGGATCTATTAGCATCAGTTAATATAATATAAAAGTATATCTGCCACATTCTGAACTGCTGGAATTAAGAGGTCAGATATACACTACTGTTCAAAAAAGTTGAAGTAAGCATGGCACCTAGAGGTAAATGGAAAAAGAATTAAGCAAACAATTAATACACAATTAACACTGACCTACTAAATACGCTCATGCACATCAGACACATTTAAAAGCAATGGAATATAAATAAGCCTTCAATTGAGATTTAAAACTGCTTTTAAAACCCAAAGTCTAGTGGCCACAACTGTGAAACACTGATCTCCCTCGGAACGAAAAAGCAAGAGGGGAACAGAAAGAAGTAATTGGTTTGATGACCTCGGGGAGCAAGGGTGGAGGAGATTAATACTGTGGAGCAAGTCCATGCAGGGCCTCAAAAATTAATAGCATTGTAAAATCAATTCAAAAACTTCCTGGTAGCCAGTGCAATGAGGCCAGTACAGGGGTGATGGGATCTATTAGCATCAGTTAATATAATATAAAAGTATATCTGCCACATTCTGAACTGCTGGAATTAAGAGGTCAGATATACACTACTGTTCAAAAAAGTTTGGAGTCAGTAAGAAATAAAAACTTTTATTCAGCAAGGATGCATTAAACTGACGAAAAGTGACAGTAAAGACTTTTATAATGTTACATTTCTATTTCAAACAAATGCTGTTCTTTTTAATCTTTCTATTCGTCATTTTTTTTTTTACTGAAAAACAAAATGTTTCACGGTTTCCACAAAAAAATGAAACAGCACAACTGTTTTCAATATTGATAATGATAAGAAATGTTTCTTGAGCAGCAAATCAGCATATTGGAATGATTTCTGAAGAATCATGTGACACTGAAGACTGGAGTAATGATGCTGAAAATTCAACTTTAAAATCACAGGAATAAATTACATTTTCAAATATATTCAAATAGAACACAGGCATTGTAAACTGTAATAATATTTCACAATATTACTGTCTTTATTGTATTTTTAATCAAATAAATGCAACCTTGGTAAGCATAAGAGACTTTTCAAAAAAACATTTAAAAATTTTACCAACCCCAAACTTTTTATAGTATAGTGTATAAAGAGCTGCAGTGATGTAAAAGAGATGTAATAAATGCACGCGTAACTGTCTCGAAATCTGTGAGAGAACAGCAGAAAGATATGAGCTGTTCTTAGTGACGGTTAATGTTAAAATTCTAGAATGGGGTCGAGACATCGCTGTTCTGGGACCTATAGTTGATTACCAGCAGTAGAAGAGCCAAGCATAATCATCTCAGTTTTATGTTCATTAAGCTGACAGAAATTAAATTAATCATCATCAGTCGCTTACAGGGCATTTTTAACATCCAATCCTTTCAAAGAGCTCTGCAAAGAATTTAATTAAAAATGAAAGCATGCAGGGCAAATGCAATGGAAAGACTTTTGAAAACCACTATATGAAAACTGCAAACAGCAAGAAAGAGAAAGATAGGAAAGAGGGATATGACAACAATCAAGCAATACAGAAAGTAAAAAGCAAAAGCATGTAACCATCCTCATGTTGTTCCAAACCACAGTGACTTCCATTTCGTCAGTATGACACAAAAAATAATATTTAGTAGAATGTTTTGTTTTTTTATCCATGAAACAATATTGGACCACAGTAAAAAAAAATTCACAATATCTTCCTTCGCATTCCACAAAAGTAAAAAGTCATACAGGTCTAGCACTAAATTAGGGTGACAAAATTTCCGGTTTTTCGGTGAACACTAATTTAAGATGTAGCGAAATTAAGTTGATGTTGCTTAGCTTAAGCTTTATTACAGTTTGATCTTTCAAATTTGTTGAGAAAGACACCAAGCAAGTAAGAAGGCAAAAAAAAAACACAACAAAAAAGAAAAAAAGTTGACCATGTACACAGAAATACGGGCTAAAACAACAGATAATCAGGAAAATCACTCATGACTGGCTACCAAAGAAACGCCGGAGCTCATAACGTAACGAGACATGCTCATCACAGCGAGGGGCTGAAGGAGGAGGGGTGGGAGGGCAAATTCTTATTCTTCTCACCCACCTCATTCGAGTTAAACTGAGCAAGACTGTCACAAGTTATCCATCTCATGCAGCGGGCGAAGAACGCCAAAGAGCCCTCGGCTATGAAATTCTTTCCAACAGTTGCTGCAATCCTCTCCAACCCTCTGACTAACACCCTGTTTCTTTCTTTCTTTATTTTCTCAAGCTGTTTTCTATAGCATAAACACTGCTCGAGAAGCTTCTATAATACTAAAAGACTGGCTCAAAGCCAGTGTTTCCCCAGCTCAAGCAAAATAAAAATGAAAGGTATGCTTGACTTCAGGAGAAACTGAGGGGCTACAGTGAACAGTGACAAACTGGTGAAGACCATGTGAAGGACCTGAAAACTTTCTTTACCTGAATTGAGGATTATGCCCTCAAATCTGAGCACATACTCAAGAGCTGCTTTGCTAATCCTTTTCATGTTTTTGGCATCAAACGTCATGCTTTGCGGTGACTGAAGGGGTCTGCTGGTTTATATCGGAGTCTTTTGCTCCAGGAAAACACAGCTTACATTCCCACAAGGCCAACATGAATGTTAACCAATAAAATGAGTAACCAACTCAAACTCATCCAGGGCTTCTTTTGAAAGACTGGAGGCATCAGAGTTGAATTCAAGACCACAGCCTCCGAAACCTAGATACATATCAAGATTAGAGTCCTTGAGGCTCAGATCTAGCCCGAGACGAGACCCTGGTTCAAGACAGTGTACTCACACTGGAAACCCTAATTATTATTGACTGTAAAACACCATTTAGCATCTACTTCCACTACGTAAAAGCTATTCAAACAGATATAAATGTCACCAATAAACTGTAAAGCCCTCACAATTAAAAACTACTAAAAATCAAATAAATACATTCATTAAATACAAATTTTCTAAAAATATAAAATAAAATACATTTAAAAAAAGAATCACACAAATATTGTGAGAATATAATGATTTTGCAAACTTACGTTCATATGAGTGAACTTTATAATTTCGGTAACACTTTACAATAAGGTTCCATTAGTTAATGTTAGTTAATGTATTAACTAACATGAACAAACAATGAACAATACATTTATTACAGTATTAATTCATCTTTGTTAATGTTAGTTAATGAAAGTACAGTTGGTCATTGTTAGTTCATGTTAATTCACAGTGCATAAACTAATGTTAACAAGAACAACTTTTGATAATGCATTAGTAAATGTTGAAATTAACATTAACTAAGATTAATAAATGCTGTAGAAGTATTGTTCATTCTTAGTTCATGTTAACTAAAGTAGTACCATAAAGTACAATAATTACAGTAAAGTTGAGTTGTTGCAAACAGGGTTATTATCAATAACTAATACCATAAGAAACATTTTTATTACTTAAAATGAAAAACATTAACTGAAATGAAATAAAATAATTGAAACTATTTTTAAAAAATTCAGTGTCCAATTTTCATTTACGTAGTTTCATTTAAGTTCGATACTAAAACAATTATAACTAAATAAACTAAAACTAAAAACTAAAACTTAAAAAGAAAATGCATAAAAATATATTTTTTAAAAAGCTAATAAAAATGGCAAAAATGCACAACAGAATTATAAAAAAAATTAACACAATTAAAATGAAGGCGTAAAAATAAAATCCAATTCAAAATAATAACAAAAACTATAAAAGTATACCAATGACACTGAAATAACACCAGTTGCAAGTATCATTAAGTTCAGAGATGCAATTAAAATAATAATAAATCTGAACCACTGAACCTCTAAATTTAAGGCTAAATGTTAGGGTAAAGACAATTACTGTATAAACTTGCCACAAGAGTTCTCAATGTATGGAAAACTGCACAAAATACAATGTCACTTGAGTGACAAAAGAAAGTGTAAAATTAACCGGGTACAAAGAACACTGATCATAAACAAGTAATTATTCACCAACTAGACAACATTAACTACATTATACAGAACTAAAAATCCCATTGATTCTACATAACTATTTACATGTTTCCAAATGTCGCCATGCTTTTAACATTTTTACATAATTTAAATGCAAGGGTTTATTGGTATTCCCCCAGCTGCAGTGCTCAACTGGAGATGTAGCGATAATACACTCAGTAATGCTTTAATAGCTTTAATAAGGTTTGATTATCCAATATTTCTCTTGTTGCCAGAAAGAACTCCTACGTTAGTGTGGCCAGTTAGATCAAGCATTGTATACAGGATTCAAGTACAGCATTTCTAAGGCGGCTAAGAAATGTGTAAAGTGGGCATCTAAAACACATCACATAAAATCTACGGTCTTTCCTAATTTCTCTCCAGTATTTGTAAAACAATTCCCCAGACAAGCCTCTCCCTAACAGATCCCCCACTAACTGAGAATACTGGATCTTTCCCTCTCTTGAGAACCTTTTTAACCCTTAGAGAAGGGACACCATGGCAGTTGTTCTAATCTCTAATTGGAGATTAACCCATCAGCATCCCCATTACAAAACCAGCACAACCTCTGACCTGCAGACCAAGCCAATTAACAGCCATAATGAGTGAGAACGAAAGAAAGAAAAAACAAATGTACAGAGTATGAGAAAGAGTATGATAAAATACCGTTCAAAAGTTTGATGTTGGTAGTATTTTTAAATGTTTTTGAAAGAAGTCTCTTATGCTCACCAAGGCTGCATTTATTTGATTAAAAATACAATGAAGACAGTAATATCGTGAAGTATTATTACAATTTAAAACAACTGTTTTCTATTTTGATATAGTTTAAAATGTAATTTATTCCTGTGATGCAAAACTGAATTTTCAGCATCATTACTCCAGTCTTCCGTGTCACATGATCCTTCAGAAATCATTCTGATTTCATTCTGATTTCCGTGTCATTCCAAATTAACAATAACCAGCAAATTTACTTGCATCTATTTTACCAAAATATTTTAAAATATTAAATGGCACAAAGGGATTTCAGTGGACATTTTTGAGTGATGACATAAATCATTGAACCAGTTAACTGAAATGGCCAGTTTGAACTGATTCACTGAAATGCATTTAACTTACCAACCAACACCACTAATTTTGTTACTGAAAGTTTAAATAAGAGATGCCGCTAAAATATCTGTCTTAACACTGGTTGTGTAACTAGTCTAATGACATGTTTCCTAGTAAACTTAATGGTCAAATGAAAAGCACATCACATCATAAAATCAATGCAATAATTTTCTATCACCAGCAGAATCACTGGGAATATATTGTGAGCATTCAATAAATCACCCAGCCTTAATCGGAAAGCAGTAGAGAGTGAATCTCAGCAGCATCCAGCCAAGGCCTCTAATAAGGGCATAGAGCCAGTGACAGATGATGTATATTCCTCTGTGCTGCAGCCTCCTTGAATATCTTCCTGTTAGTGTGATTACATCCTCCCTCAGGTCACACACTTCCCATGTTCATGGTTGCCAGTCGTCCTGGTCTCAATTATTTCTGTCCATGAGAGCCCCAAGGCATTCTGTAATGAATGCAAGTGGGGAGTACAGGTCTACTGCACCATGATACACCTTCATTTAGCACTTAGCTAAAGTAATTACTGCTCCAGTTTCTAAGGCTGCACATGTTGCCTAGTAACACTGACATCTGGATAATGGTTAGAAATGAAAGCGTAAGATGAGGGGAAAATAGTTTTTTCCAGTTGTGCTTTTTTTAAATGTTATATCTGTCATTCAAGGAACAATGTGGTGCTCTTAATGTGTAAAAGGAACATGTCTAAGGATTGTAGATTTCATAATTTCAGCTTAGAAAACTGTTTTGTGAAAATCCTTTACAGTCCTGAATGCCAAATGGAGTCCAATCAAAAAAAAAAGGCAGAACAAGTTGTCTGAAGTAGAGTATATCTATTTTGTTTCCATAACTCCATAATGTTGACGTATATTACACTGACAATCCTCCTAGAGATCTCAACTATGGTTAAAGGCAAAGAAAATTGTCATCACTGACTCACCCTCACGTCGTTCCAAACTCGCATTATATTTTCCATGGAGGAAGATCTTCTATACCACCACAAATCTAATATATATACTTTATTATATATACAACCATACAGTAATTTGGAGTTGGTAAGATTTTAAAAATGTTTTTGAAAGAAGTTTCTTATGCTCACTAAGAAAATACAGGAAAAACAACAATACTGTGAAATATTATTACAATTAAAATAATGTTTTCCCATTTGAATGTTTTAAAATGTAATTTATTTCTGTGATGCAAAGCTGGATTTTCAGCATCATTACTCCAGTCTTCAGTGTCACAGGATCCTTCAGAAATCATTCTAATATGCTGATTTGTTGCTCAGGAAACATTTCTTATTATTAGCAATGTTGGAAACAGTTGTGCTTTTCATTTTTAAACAGGGTGAGAATTTTCACCTTTGGGTGAACTATTCCTTTAAGTGACAGAAAAATATGTTTATGGACACAATGGTGATTGAATTAAAGAGTTTGAACTCCTCAAAGGTTTGGTTAACCAGCCTGAAGCATTAACCACTAGCCTGCATCACATCCTACTAAATAATACAAAACTGCAATACAGCAGACTAACAAAACTAAACATTGAGATGCAAAATTTACCTTAGCAGGATCGGCCTCGGTGACGGCAGCAGCAGTGTCCAGCGCTAACCTGCAGAGATCCCCGTGACTGCTGACGATAACATGGGACACCAGGAGACAAACACTATCTGGGACATGTTCACAGACAGAGAGTGATGACTGCAGGGAGTAAAGCCATTCCACGGATGCAATGGAGTCTACAGAAATTCGGTGTAGGACACTAGTGGCCACTTGAAGCTCGCTGTACCAAGTGCTGAGAGGCAAACTCAGCTGTGTGGAGTCCTGTTGAGGCAAACGCAAATCCTAATGTCACACGCTGCTTTTAAAACTCTCTCCTGAATGGGTGCATGATTATTAATTCGATCTGAGGCCTCTCTTTGAACCGTTTGCAACAGTGAATTGGTCAGTTTAAGGTTCTTTGTGTGTGTCTGCGTGTCTGTCAGGGCTTCCATGAGGCTGGAGCAGGACAGCACCTGTAACAAGGGCATCACCAGCAAAGATGCACCCCAGGGAGGTGGAAGCTCAGGAGGGACAATCTTTACAGCTAGCAGAGAGAAAAAGACAAGTTATAGTTCACAACTCTATTTAAACTAGATTTGCTGCCATAATTTTAGGGTTAAGTCACCTTTATTTATTTAGCACTTTATATAGCAAAAATTGTTTCAAAGGAGCTTCACAGTAATAAACAGGGAAATAACAGACTCAGTGATGCCAAACTTCATCAAATATGTGACCCTGGACCACAAAACCAGTCATAAGGGTCAATTTTTTCAAAATTGAGATTTATACATCACATGAAAGCTTAATAAATAAGCTTTCAATTGATGTATGGTTTGTTAGGATAGGACAACATTTGGCCGAGATACAACTATTTGAAATATTTTTTTGCAAAAAAATCAAAATATTGAGAAAATCGCCTTTAAAGTTGTCCAAATGAAGTTCTTAGCAATGCATATTACTAACCAAAAATTAAGTTTTGATATATTTACAGTAGGAAATGTACAAAATATCTTCATGGAACATGATCTTTACTTAATATCCTAATGATTTTTGGCATAAAAGAAAAATCAATAATTTTGACCCATACAATGTATTTTTGGCTACTGCTACAAATATACCCCAGAGACTTAAGACTGGTTTTGTGGTCCAGGGTCACATATGAGAAAAACTTTCAAATTCTCTCTCAAATGCTCTACAAAAACAACAGTGTCATTATTCAACTCAAGTCAGTTCAGCGGGGGGTTTTTTTCTCTCTTCATTTTATTATTTACTGTACACCAATAAACCACATAATCTGAGCTCTAGAATTGTATTTGTAGCACAAACTATGCGGGGCGAGTGACACATCAAGTTTAATATAGGCTTAAGGGTTTGTCTTGAGCTGAAAAACACTATTGCCTTCTGTAGAGCTGCTTGTAGCTAAAATGCTTTTGAACACAGTTATTGAACTGAACTGAATCAACACTGAACTCACACTATTGTCTTTTTAGAGCTGCTTTGCAGCATTTGAATTTGTCTCATTTTGATGAAGCTGAATCATTGACTCTGTTATTTTCCTGTTTATTACTGTGAAGCTGCTTTGAAACAATCTGTATTGTATAAAGTACTATATACATAAAGGTTCAAATCTCTAAACCCAAGGACAAGCCTTAGAAATAATAAATCATTATAATTTTCTGATGCAATTTATCCTGAAATAAAAGCTTTTTATATTGAAAACGTTTTAAAATATTTTTTCTCGCAATTATTCGTGTTGCAATCAGCATGAAACTTGGCAAGAAAAAGTAACAAAAATAGAATTTCTGAGCAAAAACTGCCTGTAATTCCACCTTTTTCTGTGGAAATTAAGCTAGCTGTGTCAATTTGCTGTGTTTAGGTAGCGAGAGGGGCTTTACCGAGCTCTAGGAGGGCAGTTTGTTGAGAGGTGGAGGCACTTAGCAGTAGCAGGGAGATTCCCATGATCACTTGCTCAGGCAGGAGTTCCTAGTTAGATAGAGCACAATCAGACAAACAGCTTGACACAGATGGAGCCTCAGAGGGAAAGCTGAATGCAAATAGCTTTGAGCTAGAAAATGCTGTGCAAACAAAACCATTAAAATGATGAGAGGAGAAGATTTGTTGAGATCACACTGAGAGTGCAACTGCAGCAACAACAAAAAAAATTATACTAATTTTGCCATTTTCTCTACAATAATGCATTTTTGCAGCTGCATTTTGTAAATGAATGCAATTAAACAGCACTGATTCAAATAGAGGTAATTGTTTCTCATACTTCCATTTCCACCTAAATAATATGCATAAAATGAGGCAGGAAATAACAGTGTAATGTGTGCATTCACCTCTGCATGTGCAGGTATTATCTGGTGGAGTGTGTGAAGGAGAGACATCAGTTCTCCTCCCAGATGAAGACTCAGCTGACAGGCACACAGGAGCTGAAGAGCCAGCTGAGTCAGTTCCTTTCTCCAGAAGCCTGGATCGATGAGCAGAGCCAACGTCAGAGATTCAGCAAATGAGCTGAACTCAACCACTGCAGTTACACTGTCCACCTGATAGGTCACAGGACAACAACACACTGATTGCATATTGGATACAGTGTGTGAACAAAGTGTGATAAAAATGTTTAAATGGATAGTTCAGGCAAAAATTAACATTCCTTCATTATTTACTCAAACCATATTGCTCACCTACACTACCACTGAAAAGTAAAAAAAAAAACGTTTTTAAAAGAAGTCTCTTATGCTCACCAAGGCTGCATTTATTTGATCAAAAATACAGTAAAAATACTGAAATGTTATTACAATTCTATTTTAGTATATTTTAAAATGTAATTAATTCCAGTGATGGCAAAGCAGAATTATTAGCAGCCATTTCTCCAGTCTTCAGTGACACATGATCCTTCAGAAATCATTCTAATATGCTGATATCTGCTCAAAATCGTTTTTCTTTATTATTATCACAGTTACAAATGATTCTGCTGCTTAATATTTTTGAATGGTAGTGAATGACACCTTCAAGGCCTTTTGTTAAATCATAAAGTAGAGCTAGGCACCATAGCAAATTTACAGCGATGGACAATTGAAACCTTCAGCTGAAACATGTTATGGGACTAAGCCACATAGCTCTATGGAGCCACTTCAGCTCAGCACATCGGAAATCATCTGCCTGCTTACCAGCATGTATGGAAGCAGGTCAAAGAGGCTGTGTATTAGCTCACGGACCACCTGAGTGCCAGACGCCCCCTTTTCCTGCAGGCTGTCAGGCTCAGGAACCCCTCGTGGCTGGAGCAGGACCCTGAGGAGGCTGTGTCTAAGCAGAGCGTTTTCTGACAACCTCTGGGGCTCGCAGTACAGGTAACGAAGGAACGGAACCAGCATTTCCACATATACTGGCTCATCTCTGAAGAAAACATACAAAGTAGCCATAATTCGCCTTCAATTTCAAACTTTCCTGTTATTGCAGATTTTAGGAAGCATCAAGAGCAGAGGAGAATCAGAAGGCCAGAAACAAACGAGATTTCACAACATGGTCTACCTCATTGACATTTTATATAGCACTTGGTTAAGGTTGATAACGGACTTGAATCAGATTTCATACTTGTCCATAGCCAGCTGAAGGAAGTCATCAATTTCCTGGAGCAGAGCAGGCCAGCAGTCAGGACGGTTTTCCAGCACTGTGATGTAGGGGTGAGGGAAGGTCCTAAAAAAAAATCAAGCACATAATTAAACGCCAGCATTTGTGTCATTCCACCAGAAAGGAACAGAGAGGGTGAAGGTTTTGAAGAAAACAGATTCTGAGAAATTTAGCATTGCTTACCAATAGATCCTCTGCAGTGCATGGGTGCCATCAGAAGGAGAGTGCAAACAGCTGATAAAATATCACAATAATCCACACAACTCCAGTCCATCAATTAAAGGGATAGCTCACCCAAAATTGAAAATTCTGCCATTAATTACTCATTCTCATGTCGTTTCAAACCCATAAGACCTTCGTTCATCTTCGGAACACAAATTAAGATATTTTTGATGAAATCCGAGAGCTTTCTGACCCTGCATAGACTGCAACGCAACTACCACCTTGCTGTCTATGGAGGGCTGTCTTATGGCGCTTTTCCACTGCGTGGTACGACTCGGCTCGGCACGGCTCAGTACAGTACGACACGGCACGGCTCAGCTCGGTTTGCGTTTCCACTGCAGTTCAGTACCGCTTTAGAGTGGGCGGGATTATTCACATGTCGTTATAGTTGCGCCGCCTCTACTGCCGCACGACTCCTGAAAAACTTTTTCATTCCGCGCCAGGCTGCATTTATTTGATCAAAAATACAGTAAAAATACTGAAATGTTATTACAATTCTATTTTAGTATATTTTAAAATGTAATTAATTCCAGTGATGGCAAAGCAGAATTATTAGCAGCCATTTCTCCAGTCTTCAGTGACACATGATCCTTCAGAAATCATTCTAATATGCTG